TTATTGATTGATGAATTTGGGTACGGAAATGACACTGGGTAGCAGCACAAACAAATATTCCAAAGACACGATGAACAACAAAATTGCACTCCGGGTGGTTCACAGCTTATAACTGTCTACTTGGTTACATTATTGCACTGTAAAGTGACCGATAGTTAAAAGGAGGTAGTTATACACATTCCAGGAGGGTAAGAAAAGATTTTTTGCGACTTTACCAGTTTATCAAGAAAAGTATATGGTAAAATCTGTCCAAACATTCAGAACAAAGTGAATCGTACGTGGTCTAAAGTTTGTTCGACAGAGTGTCTCTCGGATCGGATAAGCTGGTTGCCGGAATGTGGGTTGCGTCCAGGGCTCGGGCTAAGACACAGGATGTTCACCATGCATCAGCAAGCTTCACAAATAGATTACACCGAACACAAATGCCCAGCAATAAGGAAACGCAACGCACACTCAAGCGGATTTCGCACCTAGCTGTGAGTGGTATAGTACGGGTTAAACAGGTGTCCCCATGATCGTGACACTCTCAGAGTTGTAAGCAATGATGATGATGACTCGGATGACTTGGATGATGATGGTACGATTTCTTTTCATAGACAAATAACAATTTTCGCATAAACTTGTAGAAACTGAATATAGCTTTGTACGTGGTCCTACTAGAGACTTTGTAATTCAACTATGAACTGTGATATTGATTCGGGAGCATCATTTTGCCAGCCATAATTCAAACTCATGTCATTTTATTAAGCAAAATTTTGGTGTCTGTTCGCGTAGTGAATCGGCCTTCAGAACGAAATTCACGAAACACGCTAACCTGTCGTAGAAATAAGCACATCAAGACAGAATAGCGGAAAACGAAGATGTTGTTAAGAGAACTAGAAGTAGTAAAGCGCATGGAAAACGTTTGGTATCAATCCTCTTGAAACAAAATCAATGTTTTGAGAAATACAGGTTTCCTGAGTGCTACGTACGCATTCGTTTATAAGTTCCCATTGATCGTCCAGTCACGTGACACAGATCTTTACGACAGACACTGAATAATACTCCTTCAATCCGTTTTTCCATGCGCCAGCTTGACCTAATTGTCGGTCATCATTTAATCGACTGATGTACTCTCACGATCACTCATTAAATTGTTAACCCGATTCCGGTCCGCACGCTCTCTTGTGTGTTCTGGTTTTCTCTGTTCGGTTCCGGGCTCTAGAGTACGGTGCATAGCGTTCGCGGTTGGAATTCGGCCTTAACAATATTGGCGACGGAAATAAAACCCAAGCATTTTGCATTTACCTTCACCATTGTGGTGCTCAGTCACAGAAAAACCATCACTTTCCACATGGAATTGATGGAAAAGGACATTCATCGACTACATTGAATTGTTACCTGTGCTCTATTCACAAGCAGTGCTTACTGATTCACACAAAATAAAACTCTTTTGACCATTCCTTTGTGATGACGGCCATCATCATTTTGACGTATTAAATATTGGTGACGATATCACTGCGGAAATAAGCATGTATCAGCGGTCTACTGTCGACACGAGAAAACAGTTTGTCTCAAATGTGGGAAGATCGGGCATCTGGCACGCGTCTGCAGAGCAGCATTACAGAGGAATCCGGACAGAAAGCCATTTGGGAAGTCTGTTACTGTCGTGCAAGAGAAAGTAAGCAATAATTCGGAAAACGAAGGCTCATTTGACGAGATAGATACTACAAAGGTGGGCGCTGTGTCTCGTTTGAGTAGTGAAAATAACTATGCAGCGAAACAAGGAGTGTGGTTATTAGCAGTAAATACACACATAGCCGGTCTGCAGGCTGGCGAGGAAGCAGTGGCGTAAATATAGAAGCAGAAAAGAAGGCAGACAGACAGGCCAACAACAGGCCTATGCTTCACGCAACTGGAGGTGACTGAATTGTTGGAGTAGCTGATAGGCTCCAAGGTCTGAACTCTCTGTTAGTACGCACTGACGGCTACCATCTTTTCTAACTAATAAAGTGATCCGTCGTGAAGGCCACAGTTAAAGAAAGTTTGTTGAAGGATGAAGTAGTTAATATTATCCTCCGATTGATGCAACGAGAAGTATGTCCGCGTGACTAAATACCAGATATTCCATCAAACACCACCAACTTATATCATACCAACCTTTTCTCATATATAGACGGAGCATCAAGTGAATCTGACTTACGGAACCGGGCTTGGTAGTGGATTGATTAGCGTGATATCATGACAAAACTAGAACGATATAATTATTAAGTTTTCGCTTCAACCTCTATCGAAGCACCAGTGAAGGGGTCCTTGCCGTATTCAGTCACAGCATGAAGCAAACATGATAAAACGAACCAAATATAAATTTTTCATCTTCGTCATAATCGATACCTTATAACCGTAAACGAAAACCATTATAGATTAAGGTAATTAGATGAATGAGTTCATTTCTAATACACCGAGCGAGGATGAAGATTATGGTGATTTGGGGTCTAACTGATCGTCCTCCCTCCCTTCGAGACTTTCATGCCCTGACTGCTGACCGAGTAAACTGTCGATGAGAATGAGTAAACTCAGAATTCGGTGACCTCGGTTGGTTGGGTGAGAAAAAGAGTCATCTTAAGGCGGTTCCCTAACTCAGTCATCGTGCGCAGGTGTGAATGTTGACACGAATCGTTGAATGAGCAGATTCATCTTCGACCCTCAATAGTCGAGTGAGTAAATTCCATTGAAACCAAGTTTCCCTCGAAATGTGCGCTTCCTTTGAACCAGGATCCATTGCTTATACATGGTATTAGGAGGTGCAGTTGATGAAGTGTGGATCTTGGATACAGATGCCGTATTTCAAGTGGATTGAAAGGGTATGGTTGAACTCATCTACCGGCCACCATGAATTGGCATTTCCCCACTGTGATCTCCAGATGTACTTCAGGATACAAACCATCGTTCGATAATGAATGATGATCTTCTTCTTTGTGATCCAATGACCTGAATCTGTGAATTTTGATGACATCCACTTGGCCTTTGATTCAATGTAAAGCTGCTTTTTCTTTGTACAAGAATGATGAGATGACATTACATAAATCATTATCTCTAAATATGGCTGAGAGAATGCAGTTGAAGATGGCAAGGTTCAGTCACAGCTTGCTATCTCTCGGCCAAGTATGGTACATTTTACCTGGTTCTTACTTGGGAACAATAATTAGCCAGTGGTTACTATAAGATACATGGACCTCATGAAGTACCTTAGAAAGATGGCTTATCGTGGCGTTCCGTGTACCAATGGGCATTTTCTTGGAGAACGCACCTTGACCTCTGTTGCAACCAAGTTATTGTCAGTAACTGTAATAAGTGGGGTTTCGTATACGCATATACCATGAACCATTGAGATTTTTGTTGCAGGGGTGTGGGTTAGGCTAAGATATTGGAATGAAGATTATTGGTATTCGTCCCAAGATTAACTCGGCTGCATATTTGCTAATTCCATGAAAAAAACCAAACAAATATACAACATATTCGACCCTTATCAGGATCATCTCGGGTCAATACTAACCTCCCGGATATTAATCAATAATATTGCGTCGTACGGCAATATTCACTCAGTCCGTCTGCCTGATCCGTGGCCTATGGCCGGTTAAACTTTGCTCATTGTGCAATTGATTGGTACAATCTTCTCCTTGATTTATTTTGTTTTGTGTAACATCAAGGATCAGAGTAAAACTTGTAAATTGACTTGTGACTTGTGTTCAATGCCATTAAAGCCCGCACTACTGAGATCTTACCTTCTCTCTCGTGTTTTAGGAGACCTAAGAGATCGATACCAGACCGTGCGTCTTGTGTTTCGCCTAGGTGGTTTCCGCTCCTAGAACTATCATTCGTTCACGAAATTAAAGCTAGTCCGCTGTTCTCGTGTTCCCCTATGCTACTATAGTGTTGCTGTGCCATATCTTGTATTTTTGCATTTGTGGTGTTCACCTATGATATAGTGCTGTGCGACATAATAGTAGGCAACGGATATAAGCGGCATAAAACATAACGGAATCCTTCCTTTAAGTTGTTTTCCTCTCACTCCTAGTCTGGAGACGTACGTTGCATTGCTTCGCTCCGCTGACCGCAAACGTCGAATTTCAATGTGGCAGTGTGACTAAGTTATCTGAATTAACGAAATGTATACATATTACGTGGTAACTAAATATTTGTAACCAAGTTAGGTTTCATCGTTCTTTACTAGTCGAAATGCCA